ACGTGGCATCCTAGTCAGCAAAATTTTTTAAAAAGTTACATGGGGCCCACATGTCAGCTACACATCTTTTTTTTTTCCTTCTCTTTTCTTCTCCTTCTCTTCTCTCTTCTCTCTTCAGCAAGCGCGACAGCCACAGGCGAAGCGGCGTGACAGGGTTCTCCTCCGTGGTGGCGACGGCAAGTTCCCGGACCCGGAGCCAGCAGGTTGCCGACGCCGACGCGGCAAGCGGCGGGCGAGCGCGGCAGCGGGCGGCGGCGCGCGGCCGAAGCAGGCAGAGGGGCGGCGTTGGCCGCTGTAGGCGGCGGAAAGCGGCGATCTGGGCCTGGGGGCACGAGGAGAAGGAAGCGCGAGCACCGGGGCCCGAGGCGCGTGGGGAGCTGGTCGCGCAGCACGGCGACATCGTCGGGGCCGAAGAGGAACCTGCGGTGCACGAGCTCGTCGCCTGGACGAAGCTTGTCGCTGGCCTCGTCGGACGCCGGCTCGTACTCAGGGTGGTCGTACGCCGGACGCGGCGGGTGGCGCGCGTCGAGGGGCTCCCTCGCTCACACCGACCGGACGCTCCGCGCCTTGCGCGAGCTCACCGACGGTCTGCAAGAACTACGTGATCCCCGCCGCGTCGACGAGGTTGTGGCAGATCTGGGTGCCGAACACGAAGCCGCCACACCTCAGCCTCGTCACCTACAAGCATGGCATCATCATCATGAAAGTCACGTACAAATGGTGCGAATTTTGCAAAGTTTATTCAAGTTTTATGACGACGTACGTACGTGTACGTAGAGTAGTGGTCGGTCGGTGACGACAGCGGAGTTGCTCTCCGGCAGGGTCAGGAGTTCGCCGGCGCAAGGGATCGGCGGGCACATGCAGCGAGTCACCGAACTCCTCCAGCGAGACGTCAGCGACGAACGAGACGAACGCGGAGGAGGCCGATGAGGAAGTCCACCGCGTCCTTACGCGCCTCTGTGTACAGCACGCGACGCGAGCGCTTCCACCAGCAGCTTGAGCTGCAGCCCGGCCCCGGCGCCGGCGTCGTGTCGTTCGCCGCGGCGGCCATGCCGGTCTGGTCGTGTCGTTCGCCGTCTGCAAGCACGTAGTGCTCCTAGCTATCAATAATGATGCCCACATTTTTATTGACGAGAGCAATCAAGGAGAAGCTGAACGGTGAGCCCGGCGGCGACGAGGAGCGCGCGGCGGAGAATGCGGCGTCGGTGTAGCAACCGTTGCTCCGGCTGAACGTGCTGGCTCCGAGTCCGGGAACCTGCCGTCGCTGCTGCGGCCGTGCTCGTCGCCTCCACGGAGGATAACCCCGACACGCCGCTCTGTCTGTGGCTGCCGCGCTCGCTGAAGAGAGAAGAGAGAAGAGAGAAGAGAAGGAGAAGAAGAGAGAAGAAAAAAAAGATGTGCAGCTGACATGTGGGCCCCACGTAATATTTTAAAAAAAATTTGCTGACTAGGTTGCCATGTCAGCAAAACCGGGCAAAAATACTGCCGAGGGATCTACAGTGAACGGTTTGAGGGAGTTTAGGGGTACATATTTCTGGTTTTGTAGTTAAGGGATCTCAAAAAATCTCGCTGTTAAGTTGAGGGACCTCCGGTGACCTTATTCCATTTCAGACACTGCATCAAATTGAGGGACATAAGTAAACTTATTCCATTCCTAAATAAGTAAACTGAACTGCAGCGACGTAGAACACCCACGTGACGAAAATAAAGCATTGTTGGATTCGTGGATCAGAAGAACATCTCAAGGTGGGAAAAACAAGGCTAAAGCACTCAAGTCAATCCACTTGTTGGTGGTATGGAAAATATGTTGTGAACGAAATAGAAGGGTGTTCCAAAATCAAGATAAGACCATACCGCAACTCCTCGCCAAAATATAAGACGAAATCAAGCTATGGAGCATGTGTGGGGCAAAAAATATTGCGAGAATATCCGCTTAGATTTTTATTTCATTTAGTGTGTGTTTCTTTTCTATTTTTCTTCATGTTTCTTTTTTTTTCTCTCTTTCACCTTCCTTGGTGATATTAAATACTTTCTATTCTCCTTAATATAACTCCAACTTAGCCTGGCTACGGTTTCAAAGAAAAAAAAAGTGTTTGGGCCGGCCACGAGTTGTTGGCTAGCTCCCGGATGGCAAAGAGTCTACTTGGATTCCCTTCACGTTGTGCCGAGTTTGATTCATGTACACCTTTTGCTGTAGAAAAAAACTTCTGCAAATGTATGGATGATGAATCATATGTCATATCATACAGCTAGCAATTGAAATGACTGAAAAAAATCATCAGTTAAATAACCAGTTGAAAAAACAATTCAAATCCCCATCTTTGTTCTAGGCCATTTCTTGCAGAAGTCTAACCTTTCCCCTCCGGCCTATCGCTCCCCTTCCAACCTTCTTCCTCCTCTGGCCCATCGCTCTCCTTCCCACCTTCTTCCTCTGCCAGGCCGACCACCCTTTCCTTCCCGGAATAAGTTCACTTAGGTTCCTTAATTTCTCGTCATGTTTGAAATTCGTTCATGAACCGCAATACAAGGTATAACGCGTCCCTCGATGTGTAACCTATGTCCCAGGCCAGTATAGTACTCAGTTTCCGTTGACGTGGTGGCTGAGTTAGCGTGGAACACACATGTCAAAGTAATTCACTCTAAATAAAAAAAAATTGGTGGACCGCACATGTCTCTCCTTCCTCTTCTCTATCGGTTTCCCTTTTTCTTGGCGTCGGCGGCTTGGTTGCACACATTGTAGGCGGCTCCTGAATGAAATTCGACTGGCTTTGAGTGAAGAATATCTTTTCTTAAAGGGCTAGAATTAAATACTCCATCCGTTTCGAAATATTTGACACCGTTGACTTTTTATCACATATTTGACCGTTCGTCTTATTCAAAAAATTTAAGTAATTATTAATTCTTTTCCTATCATTTGATTCATTGTTAAATATATTTTTATGTAGGCATATAATTTTATATATCTCACAAAAGTTTTTGAATAAGACGAACGGTCAAACATGTGCTAAAAAGTCAACGGTGTCAAACATTTCGAAACGGAGGGAGTACAAATGTTGAATCCAATCATTGGTTGTCGTTATTTTTATCACATGTTGCAACTCACGGACAATTTGTAATTAGTCTCACAAAATATTGGACAAAATTTGGTCAATATAAATGTGTTGAAATAGAATCAGGTGGACCACAAGAGGGCAATCCTACCCTATTTTTAGAGGTTAACAACGAACAGATAGAAATAGAGTAAGGTGGGTTTTTTTTTCAGCTGTGTTCTTAAGTTCCCAACTCTCCCATCTCTTTTTCCACGCGCACGCGTTTCAAACTGTTAAATGGTGCGTGTTTTGCAAAAAATTCTATACGAAAGTTGCTTTAAAAATCATATTAATCCATTTTTGAAAATAAATTATCTTAAACTTAATTAATTATACGCTAATAGATTGCTCCGTTTTCCGTACGTACGATTTCTTGGAACACAACCTTTGTGAACACAGAACGTGTGTGTATATATATAATCTGAAATGACACTATAGCTGAACTCATAATAAATTAATTTGCTTGGACGGATACCAGGCTCTCACTGTACTGAATGGTACGGTACTTCAAGTAACCTGGACCACGGTACAGCTTGGAACGGTTGATGTAGGTCATGTCGTCGATCATGTCCACCACGCGTTCCGCAACTCCGCGTTCCACATCGTACCGGTAAATCAAGGCACAATCCACGTTGAAAAATATGCTTCCTTGGTAATCGTGGTCAAATGGGTAGATGGTTTGAAAGGGGTACGATAGCACGACGGTGCAATGCAGCGACCATCGCGGCCCTTCGTCGGCGGCGGAAGCTGTCCAGAGCTCAACTTTACCGTCGGCGGGAGTGTGCATATAGCACAGCTTTCCGGCCAGCTCCGTCAGGGTCCCATTAACGTCACATATCTCCTGCCGCTCCATGAACGGTGGGCTCGGGAAACTGGTAAACTCCTCGCTGCACACGTCGAAGCGTAGCATTTTTCCGGGGGTGGTGCAGCTGCCGGTGGGCGGCGACGGTAGGATGGCGATCCAGTAGATGCCACCGAGGATGCACGGTGACGTTTTGTTCAGGACGAGGTAGGGAGGGTCGGCGAGCGGCCTCCACGCCGGCGAGCCGAGGGACAAAACCTCGCATCCGACGCTGTAGTCCGTGTAGGTTTCGTTGCAGTGGCGGATGAAGTAGCGAACCACCTTCGTCTTGCCTGTAGGCTGGTCGGCGTAGAAGCCTACTCTTTGGATCCTCAAGTAGTCCGGCGTACAGGCCGGTAGCTCGGCGAACTCCCTCGTTGCCGGGTTGCAAACTAACATCATAGAGGAGTTCTCCATCGTGCTCAGCAACACGAGCCCGTTGCAGTGCAGAGGGAGGCCAAACCTGATGGCGCCATTGTTGATGTACCGGTCGGCGCCGTCCCCGTCATCGTCGGTGTCCCAATCCGTAGTAGCGTCGTCCCCGTCATCGTCGGTGTCCCAGTCCGTAGCGTCGTCCCCGTCATCGTCGGTGTCCCAGTCCGCGGCGTCGTCCCCGTCATCCACGGCATCCCCATCGTCGACGGCGTCCCAGTCGGCGGTATCATCCTCGTCGGCGGTGGCGACGGCCGAGGAGCATGTCATCTCATACGCGAGGTCCGCGAGGGCGCCATGCCCCGGGTAGCGAAAGAAGCATATCGATCCCATCCGTTCCTGTAGGATACGCCAGCCTGACAGTACGCGGCGCGCCGCCGTGGTGGAGTGGTGCAGCTGGAGGCGAACGAAGTGCGGCTCGGCGACCATGGAGCGCCACGACTTGCACACGGACCTGAACCGCAGGATGGACTTGACGGGGAGACGGAGGAGGATTTGCTCGATGACGTCTTCCGGGATGCAGGCTGCGGCGGCGCCGGTGGGTTCGACGCACCGCCGCCGCTTGGCCACGGGCAGATCACCACCATGTCCCGGCTGATTCATCATATCACGTTTTCCCGCGCTCGCACAAGCCATATCGATACTAAGCGAATTCCCTGTAACTAAAACAAGAAAGACTTTTATAGGAAGAGGATGCTTGCATTGTCCGAATCGTTTTTACTTTTTGTTTTTTGATTCGGAATCTGACATCAGTTCTGCAATCAAATCGGAATCTCGCCTCTCGGAGTCGGAGCCGTACGTCCGTTAATCTTGCGTGCCCTGTCGAGTATCCTGAAACTTGCTGCGTTGGTTGAACACGTTTGGGCTGCTACGAGATGGGCCAGAACACGTCCCGCGCCAGCAACACCAACAACCAACCAATGGGTCTCCGTCGTTGCATGAAGGCCCCGCTTGACGCCGAGGAGGCGCGTCGAGCTCGCGCCCACCGCCAGCGCCAGCATCCACCACCACCGCCCGTCGCCATGGCCTTCCTCCGAGCAGGAGGAAGGATTCTGCGTCCGTGCGCCGCCGAAGCTGAACGCCAATAGCGGCCTAGATGCTCTGGAGGACGCCTGGCGGCTGGCGGCGGGCGCCTCTTCATCGTCGACTGGCTGCCACGGCCTCCGGCACCGACGCCCGCAGGTTGGCTGCCGAGGCCATTGGCCAACGCCGCCTCCGCCGCGGCGCAAGAAACCAAGAGCGCAGCGAACTGCTCCCCTCCCTCCGCTCTCCCCTCGCCGCGCCGTCTCTTCTTCTCGCCGACGGGAGCGCCAAGAAAGCAAGAGACCCGCGCCGCCTCCGCCGCTCGCCGGAGGCAATGGAGAAGTTCCACGACGGGCACCACGTGTGGCTGCGGACCTCCGCGCCGGCGAGGACGGGAGCGGCGTCTACCTGCACCAGGACCGCGCGGCGTGGACGGTGCACATACTCCACCTCGACGGCGGCGACATCCTCATGCTCCACAGCGCCGCGAACGGGCGGTACCTCCCGGCCCCCAGGACCGGGTGGTCGTGGAACAGCGTCAACCTTCGCGACCTCAACCAGCTAGGAATAGTGTGATCATAAGATCGAGAAGGTGGCAACCCGTCTGGTTCATTAAAAATGTCAGCAAATTCATCCAAAATGGACTGAATTGAACTTGGAACATTTTGAGAAGAACTAGAGCCGTCACTGGCAGTGAGCTGAACCAAGGACTCCACAGCTCCTTGATTGTGCAACAGCTGTAACTGATGAATAGAGACCAGATCACATTTATCCAATTCCGGTACCACTCCTTTAAGTTCCACTGACTTATCAAGAAGACCAAACTGAATTGTTTTGGCCTGCCAATTGATATCCATTGGACTATATTTCTCTAACCAGTCCATACCCAAGATCATATCATAATTGTCCAAAGGAAGCAGTTTGAAATCAGTAGAGAACTGATGCCCTTGAACCTCCCATTTTGCAGCCGGCAACTCAGAGGTACAAGAAAGAACAGCACCATTGGCTACCTTTACTTGAACTGGAGTAAGTAAAGATTTCACACCAGTGAGATGAGGTAAAACCACTGAACTGAGAAAACTGCAAGAGCTGCCTGAATCCACCAAAATTAACACATCAAAGCCTTGAATGGACCCTTGTAATCGCAAAGTATGTGCAGAAACCGTGCCTTGAATGGCCTGTAAAGAAATAGCCATCAAACTAGAGATAGAATCAGCATCCTGTTCACCCTCAGAAACATCAGCTGCCAAAACACTGAAGAGTTCTTGAACAGCATGTAACTGTACTGATCCTGAACACTTGTGAGTAGGAGACCATTTTTCAGCACAAACATAGCAAAGACCTTGAGCTCGTCGATAGGCCTTGAGAGCAACCAATTTATCAGAAGAATTGGCCACTTTAGGAACTTCAGCTGTTCTTTTATCATCTCCCTTGCCAGCATGCACAAATTTGGGTGGTGGTAAAGGTAAAGGGTAAGCACTTTTAATTCGAGCAGCGTGATCACCCAATTTCTTCCCATCCTTGGACACCAAAGATCCACCAGCCTCTCCCAATTCCTCCTGTAAGATAGCAAGAGCCAAAGCAGTCTCCAAATCTTGGGGAAAATGCATTAACACTGCATTTTTAATATCACTGCGTAATCCCTCCGTGAATCTATGGACACAACTCACAGTGCTCAAGGTTGGATCATAAACTAACAACTGACTCCACAAATCATCAAAACGCTCATAATACTCATTCACCGACCCTGACTGCTTGAGTTGATCAATCTGACGAACAAGCTGAAGGTGTCTATTCCTATCAAACTTCCTATCCACCGTATCACAAAAAACTCCCCAATTCCCACAAAGCAAATGAGCTCGCGAAGAACGTAACCAAGATGCAGCTCGACCAATGAAATAAATGGTAGCTACTCTAACCCATAAATCTGGATGAGTGCCATAAACCCCAAAATAATGTTCACATCTTAAACGCCAATTCTGAGGATCACTGCCATCAAATTGGGGAAAATCCAATTTCGGCAATCTGTGATTGTACCCACGCCCCACTGATCCCCCACTCTCCTCGCGACCAACAAACTCCGAAAAATTTGGATGAACACGAGGAGAAAATGGTAGAGAGTGCGTACCCTTGCCCGGAGGTGGGACGAGAGTAGTGACTACCCCCGATGCCCTCCCCCGGAACTGAGTTGAAATGCGGTGGCCATCCAGACCAATTTCGCCAGTCGAGGCTGGCATAGACGCGGTTGGCGGCGTCGGCAACAGAGGTGCGCGACGAGCAATTTCCTCCCGCTCCTCCAACGCCTGCGATACTGGCAGAGACGTGGTTGGCGACGTCGGCAACTGAGATGTGCGACGAGCAATTTCCTCCCGCTCCTCCAACGCCTGCGAGGTGTTCGACGATTTGTCAGCTTCCGCTTGATGTCGCTCCACCGCACCGACTTGATTTCTCAGCAACTCCATGTCGCGCTGCAAGCTCTGCACCGCAGCATCAACCTGAGGTCGCCAACTTGAAATGGATTTCTCCATTTTGTTCATCGTCTCCTGCACCTCGCCTTGCTTCACCGACATGGCGCCGATCGCCTCCTGAATACTGGACAGCATCTTCCCGAAGCCTTCATGCTGCTTCTCCATGGCGTCCACTTGACCTTGCAAACGCGTCTTGAATGTCGGCCGCTCCAGGATCGTGCTCTGATACCAAGATGTTACGAACCCTAGATCGAATCACAGATGAAATTGGGGATGAGAAGGAAGAACAGAACAGAACAGAGCATTTCAGAGCAGAGGAAAAAGGAAGCAGAGTTAGGAGGAGGAATGATTTCTTCAGATAGAAGTTTTGATTCAATTCCAACGCACGCCTCTAGAAGATCCTTCTAGTATTTATAGACTTCCTCAACCAGTAACCCAATCACAGCCCATATACTTTGGGTTGGTGTGGACTTCTCGTTTGGATCTTCTAGGCCCAATGATACTAGAGTTACGGGTAGTGCTCTGTATTGATGCAGTAACACTTCCGTCGTTCACCGTCGGGTGGTTCGCCGTCACGGTGGGTTCCGGGTTCCGAATTGGACACACCGAACCCCGAGCGGCGCCGCAGCCTTGCGAGGTCGGCACGTCGCAGAACGCATGTGGGCGTCGATCTGTGGCCGCTGCCGCTGTTGGGGCCTCTACTACTGCCGTTCACCGTCGCCGCGACAGGACGAGTTCGCCGCTTCTGCCGCTCCGTTCTACTCGCGCATGAGGTGTTCGTTGAAATGCTCGGGAGTCTTTCGCTTGCTGACCTTGTTGCTTTTGATGTCACAGGGAAGCACGCAACACAATCGAGCATGGCATTTGGCATCCCTCTGCTGACGTAGTCGTCGAACACGACGCTGGCCTGGTCGCCGTGGCTGGGCGCGCGCCATGGTCCGGGTGTGGCCGGCAGCAGCTAGCTCTCGTTGCTTCCGGCGAGGCGAGCATGACGTCATCGGCCATGTGGGCCCTGAGGCCCACCTGTCAACGAAGGGGACAAATCCATCAAATTGCGGCCGCCTTGGCACCGAGAGCCCCGAGCCGTAACCATCGCGACGAGCTCCTCTCCTCCCTCCGCTCTCCCCTCGTCGGTGAGCCTAGAAATCAAGAGCCCCCTGCGCCGCCTCCGCCGCTCGCCGACTGGAGCACCAATAGCCAAGCGCCCCTAACTTTTAAAACCAATGTAAATGAGTAAGAACGTCTATTTTGCACCCCTCAACGATGGAACGTGTTTTGATTTGCATCCCTCAATAACAAAATCGGGTAAACTTTTAAAACCAATGTAAATCAACCGTCTCTATAGTATTGATAGCAAATCCTTATGGGATTATCTGCCCAACCGACTGGAGGCTGTTCTTATTCTACGGGAGGTCAGTGCGCAATATAAGTGCATTGCTGGCGATTGAGGTGGGCATCAAAAGGCCCTGCGACGCCATTTTGTGTGTTCGAGCGGGCTTCTTTGGACCAACAACGCACTTCCACGCGGTGCGGATAAAGCGAGGACCACGGCGAGAGGAAGCAACTGGGGTGTGGCCAGCGGTGTAAAAGGGACTGACTGGGTGTGGGTAGGGAGACTACACTGGCGAGTATGGCACACGCAAGCTGGGGGAGCGCGGGCCGCTGGGAGTGCGAGTAGAACCACGGGAACTGTGGAAGGACAGGTGGCTGGCATGGCAGAGACGATCGGAATCCCAAGAGATAGTGTCCACGGAGGAGACACCCTCCTCAACAAGGCGAGCCTCCAAAGCGGCGTAGCGGCGAGCCAGGGAGCGGTAGGCCTCAAGGAGCAGGTCGTGCTGAGTGGCTTGAGCCTCAGAAAGCTCAATCATGCGGGTCAGCACGGGGTGCGACTCGTAGTAGGGACAAGGGTACTTAGTGTCTGTGTGGCCAAAGGGAAGGAAGGGACCATCCGGAAGGCGGACCCTGAGAGGCGGTGGCTGTAGTCATGGGCCAAACACAGAGCGCAGTCTAAGAGTGGTCCTAGTACGTGATCTGGAGAGTGGGCCTGGCCACATTGAAGTGGTGTGGGTGAAGGCCAGCCCCCTATGTACCTCCACGAGGGTAAAGGTACACAAACAGCTTACAGCAAGGAGGAACACGGTCCACAGAGTACCCCGCGTACTCGGGACACGAGAAGCCAAGGAAACGGGCAAGGTCACGGAGCTGATCGACATGGTGACCCTCACCAAAGCCGTGGGAATACTGTAACTGGCGTTCACTGCCACCTACAATTTTGAAAGAGAGAGAAACATATCAATAACTATTTTAACAATAAATTACTGAAAGAAGGAAAGCAAAAGAAGCCTTAGCTTTTCGCAAGTAGATTTTATAACTTAGTATCCTTAGGGTCATCCTAACGTTGGGTTTCGCCCTAAGGCCAAGCCCGTGCTCTGATACCATCTTTTGTCACGCCCCGAACTAGTCCCGGGCGAAACTAGCCCGAGACGCTCCAAATTAACCTGTTAACTGATACCAGTCCCAGGAAACAGTGCTGGTATCACAGGAAGACAGAATATCACAACAACAGTAGTCTATTTATCATAGAGTAAGGTTACAGTCATGTTGGGCTGCGGACAGACCCCAAGCTCACAACTGCGTTTTGAAATATAAATTTGAAAAGGATGCAAAATGCTCCAATTTTAATAGAATTCAATAAGAACCAAATGTAAAACTCGTCACGAACAATTTTCTTTAAGAATTTGAAAATTGAAAATGAAGTACTCTCAATTAGGCAAGAGAAGGAAATACAAATGGCGTGGTCTCTAATTTTGGATGAATTTTGGGAAGGTGGTAAAAATAGCTGGAAGAGAATAAATAGGATTTTAGCCCCCCCCCCCCCTCCCTAACATGTGGTAGGGATCCTTGATGTAATATTTGAGACTAAAGGAAATTGGATTTTCTGATGAAAGGAATTGGGAATAAGTTTCTTAGCACAAGAGCAATCACTCAAACATTTGTGATACTATGATTCTTGTGCCGGGGAGGAAATCAAGCCACGACAATTAGACTGGCGACTTGATCAAAATAGGAGTATGAACAAAGAATAAATGATTGAATATTTTTGGATGGAGAGGAAGTATAGATTTTTGGAGATAGGTGTAGATAGAGGTTTGATCCAGAATAAATTCCAATAAAATTAGAATTATGCTGGTTTTGCCTCAAGGTTAAAAATGGTTAATTAGAGAGACGGCCGACTGGGGAAATATTAGCCCAGTTAAACAGTAGACTTTTGAATTTTGTATGGAATAATTTGGATATACGAAATATTAGCCCAGTTAATCAGTCTCAAGCTCGACGTCGTCAGCTTCGGTGTCATCCTGTCCGAGCTCTTGTCCGGGAAGATAGCGCCACGACGGCGTTTGTCACCGACGATTAGTCCCATGCTCTGGCCGTTCAGTGGGTGGCGCGGGATCCATGGGAGTGGCCTTCCATGGAAGAGGTGTTCGTCGCTCTCGGCGGTGTACAACCTGACGACGGTGGATTGGGATCCGCAGAATTACAGCGCATCAACTTCTATGGTTCTCGGCGGGTAGCAGATCAGGCTTGAAAGCTCAATTTTTCAACGTGAAATATCAACAAGAAGCTTAATTAGTTAATATCAATGGTCTTAAAAAGTGAAGTGAAAATACTACTCCATGTTTCTCTCCCTACCATTTTAATGGAAGAAACAGCATACAGCGCCATGCACCGTAGTGCTAGGCTAGCTAGCCTATCGCGGGAGCGAGCTCCAATGCGTTAGCATCTACCCCGGCGACCCCATCTCGAGAACAAGAAGAAGCAGCGAGAAAGAAGAAAAAAGAAAGAAAAGAGAAGGAAATAAAAGAAAAGGAAGGTGGGACCTATTGCATATTTTTATTTCTAATCAGATACTAAGAGCAAGTTTAATAGTACATAGTTGCTAGTAGTATAGTCCACTACTAGCTCCAAATTATCTATAGCCAATGTAATAGCTAATTAGTTGCTTGCTATACTATTAATGCCCGGTTCCACCTGTCATACACACATTACATCTTGGAGTCCGTGCTACAGCTAGCTACAGATCTGTAGCCCGCTGCTCTTCTCTCTCTTCCTTTATATCTTTAAAATAAGTTTATAGCTGGCTTATAGCCTGCTATTGTGCCTGCTCTAATTGACACGTGGATCCCACTGTTTTTTTATAGGTGCCACATCAATTAATGTCACGTGGAACGAGGAACCAGTCAAACTAGACAGGTAGACGTCACATCAAGCCGAAACCGCTATTCTAACCTTCTTGGGGTTAATTTTGCATCGATTTTAAGAGTTGAAGGACACGCTATTTCTGGTATTCAGTTTCTCTACCTTTTTTATCGGCATCGGTGGTGTGGTTGTAGACACCGTAGGCGCCCCCTGATTGAAATTGATTGAAATTCGACTTGCTTTGAGTGAAGAATATATTTTCTTACAGGACTAGGAGTAATTAATTACAAAAGTTGAACCCAATCGTTGGTTGTCCTTATTTCCATTACATGTTGCAATGCACCGAAAAATTTGTTAGTCTTACAAAATATCGGATAAAATTGGGTTAATATATATGTGTGTAATCTGAAATGAAACTATAGCCAAACTCAATCTAATTAATTTGCTTGGACGGATACCAGGCTCTCACTGTACTGAATGGTACGGAGCTTCCAGTCCCCTGGACGGCGGTACAACTTGTGCGTTGAACAGTTGAAGTAGGTCATCTCCTCGAGCATGTCCACCACGCGTTCCACAACTCCGCGTTCCACATCGTACCGGTAAATCACGGCGCAATCCACGTTGAAAAATACGCTTCCTTGGTAATCGTGGGTAAACGGGAAGATGGTTTGAAAGGGGTGCGGTAGCACGACGGTGCAATGCAGCGACCACCGCGGCCCGCCGCCGCCTTCGTCGTCGTCGGCGGCGGCGGAAGTTGTCCAGAGCTCAACTTTACCGTCGGTGGGAGCGTGCATGTAGCACAGCTTTCCGGCAAGCTCCGTCAGGGCCCCACTAACGTCACGTATAACCTGCCGCCCCATGAACGGTGGGCTCAGGAAACTGGTAAACTCCTCGCTGCACACGTCGAAGCGTAGCATTCCAGGGGTGGTGCAGCTGCCGGTGGGCGGCGACGGTAGGGCCACGATCCAGTAGATGCCACCGAGGATGCACGGTGACGCTTTGTTCAGGGCGAGGTAGGGAGGGTCGGCGAGCGGCCTCCACGCCGGCGAGCCGAGGGACAAAACCTCGCATCCGACTGTAGTCCGTGAGGGTCTCGTTGCAGTGGCGGATGAAGTAGTGAACCACCTTCGTCTTGCCTGTAGGTTGGTCGGCGTAGAAGCATACTCTTTGGACCCTGAAGTAGTCCGGCGTACAGGCCGGCAGCTCGGCGATCTCCTTGGTTGCCGGGTTGCAAACTAACATTATAGAGGAGTTCTCCATCGAGCTCAGCAACACGAGCCCGTTGTAGTGCAGAGCCCCGCCCAACCCGATGGCACCATCGTTGATGTCCCCGTTGTCGTCGGCGTTCCCATCGACGGCGTCGTCCCCGTCAGCCGCGGCGTCCCCGTCGTCGACGGCGTCGTCCAAGTTATCGTCGTCGTCGCCGTCGTCGACGGCGTCCCAGTCGGCGACATCATCCTCGGCAGCGGTGGCGACGGGCGAGGACCATGTCATCCCAAGCGCGAAGTCCGCGGCGACGCCATGGCCCGGATAGCTAAAGAAGTCGATCGTTCCCCTCCGTTGCTCTGGCACACACCAGTCTGCCAGGATGAGCATGGACGGTGGGCGATGGCGCGCCGCCGTGGTGGAGTGGTCCAGCTGGAGGCGCACGAAGCGCGGGTCGGCGACCACGGCGCGCCACGACTTGCACACGGACCTGAACCGCAGGATGGACTTGACAGGGAGGCGGAGGAGGATTTCCTCCACAATGTCTTCCGGGATGCCAGCCGCGGCGGCGCCGGCGGGTTCGACGCACCGCCGCCGCTTGGCAACGGGCACATCACCACCATGTCCCGGCTGATTCATCATATCACGTTTTCCCGCGCTCGCACGAGCCATATCGATAGCAAGCGAATCCCCTGTAACTAAAACAAGAAAGACTTTTATGGGGAAAGATGCTTGTCCGAATCTTTTTTTACTTCTTTGTTTTTTGATTCGGAATCTGACATCAGTTCTGCAATCAAATCGGATTCTCGCCTGGCTCTCGGAGTCGGAGCCGTACGTCCGTTAATCTTGCGTGTCGAGTATCCTGAAACTTGCTGCGTCGGTTGAACACGTTTGGGCTGCTACGAGATGGGCCAGAAC